GCTAAAAACCAAAGACCACAAGAGTTATGGGATGACATCAAGAAAGTCATACAGGAAGAAAGCAAAAAGTCATTAAGAAGACAAGACAGAAGAAAAAGGACAAAATGGATGTCAGAAGAGACACTGAAATTTGCTCTTCAGCGTAGAGATGCTAAAGCAAATGGAAGAAATGAAGAGGAATAAGAGCTAAACAGAACATTTCAAAGGTCAGCTCAAGAAAATAAAGTAAAATATTACGACAAAATGTGCAAAGATCTGAATCAGAAAACCAAAAAGGAAGAACATGCTCAGCATTTCTCAAGCTGGGGGAACAAGCTGAAGGATTCTCTGGGCAAATTACTGAATGGTGCAGAAAGCATCAAAAGAAGATGGAAGGAATACATAGTGTCATTGTACCAAAAGGAAATGGTTGGCATTCAACTGTTTCATAAGGTAGCATATGATCAAGAGCCAATGATACTGAAGGAGGAAGTTCAAGGTGCATTGAAGGAATTGGCAAAGAACAAGGTACCAGGAATTGATGGAATAAAAATTGAACTCTTTCAAGAAAGTGAGGAGGCACAGGAGGCACTCACTCATCTATGGCAAGAAAGTTGGAAGAAAACTATCTGGCCTACTGATTAGAAGAGATTTGTATTTGTGCCCATTCCAAAGATAGGTGACCCAATGGAATGTGGAAATCATTAGACAACCTCTTTGATATCCCAGGGGAGTAAAGTTTTACTCAAGGTAATACAGAAACTGCTGCAAGCACACATTGACAGAGAACTTCCAGAGGTTCAAGCCAGATTTAGAAGAGGCCATGTAATGCTGATGTCCGATGGATCTTGGCTGAAAGCAAAGATTATCAGAAAGATGTTTTGAGTTTATTGACTATGCAAAGGCTTTTGATTGTGTGGATCATGACAAGCTTTGGACAACGTTGCGAAGTATGAGTATTCTGGAACCACTTAATTGTGCTCATGAGGAATCTGTACCTGGACCAAGAGGCCGTTGTTCGATCAGAATATGGGAAGAGTGAGTGGTTTCAAATTAAGAAAGGTGTATGACAGGGTTGTATTCTTTCACTACACTTATTCAACCTGTATGCTGAGCAAATAATCTGAGAAGCTGGGTTCTATGAAGAAAAATGTGGCATCAGGATTGGAGGA